CTCAAACTCCCGACCTCTGGCAAATCTGCCTGTCTCAGCCTCCCAGTGTTGGGATTACAGGCATGAGCCACCGCACCTGGCAAAAAATTGAAAATATTGGATAAGAAGCAGATTTATGTGGTGGCTCACCTCTGTAATCCCAGCACTTTAGGAGACCTAGGTGGCCAGATCACTTGAGGTCAGGAGTTTGAGACCAGCCAGACCAACACGGCGAAACCCCATCTCTACTAAAAATTCAAAAATTAGCTAGATATGATGGTGGGCGCCTATAATCCAAGCTACTCTGGAGGCTGAGGCAGGAGAATCGCTTGAACCCAGGAGATGTAGGTGGCAGTGAACCAAGATCGCACCACTGCACTCCATCCTAGGCAACAGATCAGGACTCCTTCTCAAACAAATAAATAAATAAATAAATAAAGATTTCTAGATGTTTCAAAGAAAAGAACTTGCTAGATGCCAAGGTGGGTGACGAGTTGGGCAGCTAAAAAGGGAAGAAAGTGAGTAAAGTTGCTCGGTATTATAGGACTCCATGGAGGTTGTATGCTGGGAGCTCAAGAGGCATCATTCACATAGTCTCCAGGGTTGGCAAGCACTACTGTATATGGCGGCTCTGGCAGAGGAGTATTGGGAAAATAAGTAATTGGAAAGAATGAATTGTGGGCCAGAGAAGCTTGGGCTTCATCCTGTAAGAAGTGGGGAACTATAGCAGTTTCTTGAGAAGAAAAGGTAAATGATAGTGATGTGGCTAACCATACCAGCTTTGGAGCTAGATAAAAATTTGTTTGATTTTTTAGCTATACTTCTTACTAGTTAATATGATTTGGGGAAAGTTACTTAAGTTTATTAAGCCTCAGTTTTCTCATTTGCAAAATGAGTATAATAATATTTTCCTTATAGAATTATGGTAAGTAGTATTTGAGACAGTGTATGTAGTGCTTGGCACAAAGTAAGTGGTCAATAAACGGTGTTTGATGATAAGTGTTTCCAAAATTTCAAATGGCAGTGGTATACAGAATGAATTGGGGGAAGAGAGTGGTAACTGATTTTGATTTTAAGTGGTGGTTTACCATAGTTGTGAAACCAACTAGTTGACATATTGGTGTGAAGTGACAAAGGAATAAGCTATGGTTTTTGGAATAGAAGGCATAAGTTGGAACATAAACCCGTATTTTATCTTATCTGTGACACCATTGATTATAAGATGTGCTGTTATTTGTGTACTATGAAGAAAGAAAAAACCTTGACGAATGTTGACACAATGCTATCACTTAAAATTTTTATTTTCCTTTTTTTTTTTTTTTTTTTTCCTGGTTTCGCTCTTGTTACCCAGGCTGGAGTGCAGTAACTTGATCTCGGCTCACTACAACCTACACCTCCTGGGATCACACGATTCTCCTGCCTCAGCCTCCCGAGTAGCTGGGACTACAGGCACATGCCACCACACCCAGCTAATTTTTGTCTTTTTAGTAGAGACGGGTTTTTACCTTGTTGGCCAGGATGGTCTCAATCTCTTGACCTCATGATCCACTCCCCTCAGCCTCCCAAAGTGCTAGAATTATAGGCGTGAGCCACCACGCCCAACCAGAATTTTTATTTTCTACTTATTGAAAGAACTCTTTCAAGACTTACTTTGACATAGCTTTTAATCGTGTATCATTTTTGTGTGTATATAAAAAGGAAAATATAAGTGAAATAAAGTATTTTTGAAATTTCTTCACATTCAGAGTCCAACCCTTTTGAATTACTTCTTGTTTCAGTCATCATTGTCTGTGTTTTTTCATGTAATATTGTTCTCTGTGCCATCATGAAAATGGGCAGTGCCCTATTTCTTTAAAAAGTGCTCTGTTATTGTCTCTGATTTTCCCCGCAAGCAGCAACAGGTTTGATGCAGGTGCTTTTTTTTTTTTTTTTTTTTGAGATGGAGTCTTGCTCTGTTGCCCAGGCTGAAGTGCAGTGGCATGATCCTGGTTCACTGCAACCTCTGCCTCCTGGGTTCAAACGATTCTCCTGCCTCAGCCTCCCGAGTAGTTGGGATTACAGGCGCCTACCACCACACCCGGCTAATTTTTGTATTCTTGGTAGAGATGAGGTTTTGCCATATTGGTCAGGCTGGTCTCAAACTTCTGACCTCTGCCCACCTTGGCCTCCCAAAGTGCTGGGATTACAGGTGTGAGCCCCCGAGCCTGGCGGTGCTTCTCGATCTTACTAGAAATTGTCATTGGGAAGGTTATTAGACAACAGCCAAGACTCACATTCTCTTCTCAAATGGTGCTAAATGATTTGCTGACTAAAAAGGCCAGGGATAGCAAACATGTTGACGTAACTGCAGGCCGTGACCGCTATGCCCTGTTATTGCCTTGTCCAAAGCAATTTTAAGATTTATCCTAATTTCAGAAGACAGATAAATATGAAAGAAAAATGTATCTCAGAACTGATAAATCAGATAGAATTGAAACACTAGGTCAGTAATTCTGAGAAAGTTACTTAACTTTAGTAAGCAAGCTTAGATAGAAATGCTCCAGTTATACCTGAAGTTGTTTTGTTGTAAATTACTCAGGGATGCTCTATCAGCACTAAAAAAGATATTTTAAAGGAATTATATAGCACTGATAAGCTGACTCATAAAAATGGCTGAAATTGTTTGAAACTGGCTAATAAAGAAGTAATAACCTAATGATTCCATTTTTGAATGCCAGGTGTTTCTAAAAGCTTGATAAAATTTGTTTTTATTTTTAAATTTTTACTTATTTATTTTTGAGACAAGGTCTGGCTGTCACCCAGGCTGGACTACAGTGACATGATCTCAGCTCACTGCAACCTCCGCCTCCTGGACTCAAGCCATCCTCCTACGTCAGACTCCCGAGTAGCTGGGACCACAGGAACGCACCACCATGCCCAGCTAATTTTTGTATTTTTAGCAGAGACGGGGTCTCACCATGTTGCCTAGGCTGATCTCAAACTCCTGGACTCAAGGCATCTGCCTGCCTCAGCCTCCCAAAGTGCTGGAATTACAGGCATGAGCCACCACACACAGCCTGTTTTTCTAATATGATCATTCTTCCTATTGGCTTATACCTAATATAAGGATTTAACCTTATAAAGCTTAAAGTTCTAAGACCAGAACCTAGGTGTATTAGTCCGTTTTCACAGTGCTATAAAGAACTACCTGTGACTGGATAATTTGTAAATAAAAGAGGTTTAATTGACTTATAGTTCTGCATGGCTAGGGAGGTCTCAGGAAACTTAACAATCATGACAGAAGGGGAAGCAAGGCATGTCTTACATGGTGGCAGGAGAGAGAGACAGACAGACAGACAGATACAGGGTGGGGGATGCCAGGGGAGCTGACAAACACTTTTAAACCATCAGCTCTTGTGAGAACTCACTATCACAAGAACAGGATGGGAGAAACTGCCCCCGTGATCCAGTCACCTCCCACCAGGTCCCTCCCTCAACATGTAGAGATTTCAATAGAGATGAAATTTGGGTGGGGACACAGAGCCAAACCATATCACCAGGCTCGTAAGATTTATTTTTGTGTGTCTGTGAGTAGGCAGCCTAAACACTGTCTAGAATACAGAAACAGCAGAAAATATAATCCTGTAAAGTTGCTGTGGCAACATCAGCTACTTATGTTGCAATAAATGTAATGGCAATAATTTTTTAAACTTTCCTTTTTATTAGAGACCGGGATAAAACTGAATCTCTGGAAAGATAATGAGTCTAGAAATTTGTGCTATTTTTCTCTCATTCCCTTATTGACGTATTTGGAGGATTCTTCAATTGTAGAAGTTGTACTATGTAGCCAGTAATAATATTTATTTTTTCAGATGCTTGGGGTAGAATATGGGAATTTTTCTTTTTTCATCCACATAATGAGATATTTATAAGTAAATGTGTAGAGTCCAACCCACTCACAGATAACCCAGGATTCAAACGTTGTTGGAACTTCTAGACAAACCTCATTTTCTCTTTTCTTTTCTAAAATAATGCCTTGAGCCCAGAAAGCAAGTTAATTTCCTATCCCACTTGCCACATTTCCATAATTCCATGGCTTCTTTGTTATTCTCAGGGGTTTCCTCATCCCCCTTGTGTATCCTCCTAAGTGAATGAACCCATTTTTCCCCCTCCAAGTTCCAGGCATTCAGATGAACCCATTATATTGGTGGTTGGAGGACCCAGCGTCTGTCCACCCTTTTTGTTCATAATAGAAGAATGTGTGCATGTCTCATGTGTTACCATTAAGTTTTCTGTCTTTTGAGAAATATTTCACTGACTGGTGGGAATGCAGACAACGAACAGCAATATCTGGTTCCAACCTGGGCTAGACCTAAAGGCATCGTGGGTTGGAGGTTCATTTCTGTCACCGGGGCCTACCAGAAGGAAGATTTGACCTGTGAGGCTCCCTCTGGCCCGGGTCTTACCGGTAGTGGCACTCAGCTACAAAATACACCTATCTTTTTTTTTTCTCTGATTCTTTTCAGTCCAGTCTCTTGTACGCATGAATCTCCTGTCTATTTGGTAGTCTGGCTTTCCAGGAACCTAGCAGCAGTTTTGAATGAATAGGTTACTTGGAGTTTTAGAATTGTAAATCCTTGAAGATCTTGAAAATGATTTTGGTGATGAGCTGCCACAGCTGGCTGTTCATCCAATGGCCCGGGAAATGCAGAACCGTGAATACCATGCCTGATAGACCCAGAACAGGCAATGGCACCTTCATTGAGAAAACATGATTTTAACTGAGAAGTAGTATTTCTGGAAAAAATTTCCACTGGCTCTTCTATTGTTGTTACCTGTAATTTCATCATCTTTTCATTTAATTCCATTCAGCATGATGTCTTTGGGACCAGTGGGTATTTTTGTATTTGCTTATAGAAGTGTTTGTTCTTAGGGCTATGCAATGGCTCGGAAGACCAGCCCCACCTACTCTCTTGTTGCTTGGCACCAATCCTCCCTGGTTGTTGGGCGTCTTGTTTACCTCTGCCCTTAATTCCCTGCAGGTGCGTAAGTACAAGAGCATGATCCTGGAAGACCTGGAGTCTGCTCTGGCAGAACACGCCCCTGCGCCACAGGAGGTTAACTCAGAACTGCCACCTCTCACCATCGACGGAATTCCAGTCTCTGTGGACAAAATGACCCAGGTAAGAGGCGGGAGGTGAGGAGGAGACACAAAGACAAGTGGCACAGGTGTGGGCGGGCCTCTGATCTGACCAGGGTCTGAGATACAGATTGGAGTCTGCTGAAACAGTAGCAGCCTTGGAAAAGACACTGCAGTGTCAGAAGACTGCTCCCAACCAAGAGCATGGCTGTGGTCTCCTCTTTCTTCTGGCAGCTTTTTTTTTTTCTTTCACTTGGGCCTTTGGGTTGGATTTAAAAAAAAAAAAAGAAAAAGCTTTTAGCTTGGGGTTGGTCTGAGAAGAACATTAGGAGTTTGATGAATCACAGTCAAGGTGGGCAAGTGAACTTTTAGCCTCTCAGTCTGCTCTGCTCCTATTTCAATGTCAATTCTGAATACTACATGTTATCACTAAGTACAGCTCCCTTCCCCAAGAAATAAGAATGTAAAACTCAGAGTAACAGTCTTCTGAATCATTGATTTCCTCTTCCTTTTAAAAATTTTTATTTAAATTTAAAAAATTTTATGATTTCTAAAGATGGAGTCTCACTATGTTGCCTATGCTGTCTCAAACTACTAAGCTCAAGCAATCCTCCTGCCTCGGCCTCCCAAGGTGCTGGGATTATAGGCGTGAGCCGCTGTGCCAGCCTGATTTCCTCTTCCTTTAAGAAGGGAAGTCAAAATTGCTGGGTGTAGTGGCTCACACCTGTAATCCCAGCACTTTGGGAGGCCGAGGCAGGTGGATCACCTGAGGTCAGGAGTTCAAGACCAATCTGGCCAACATGGTGAAATGTCTCTGCTAAAAATAAAAAATTTAGCTGGATGTTGTGGCAGACATCTGTAATCCCAGCTACTCAGGAGGCCGAGGCAGGAGAATTGCTTGAACCTGGGAGGCAGAGGTTGCAGTGAGCTGAGATCATGCCATTGCACT